AACGAGACTGTAACTACATTTTTCGAACCCTCGAAGATCAATGGAGGGAAAGCAGGAGAAAATGTGTGTGGATGAAAAGATGCCAGAGGAAATGTCTTAATGATTGTGATCCGGTATACACAAGACTGCCTCACGAAACAAGCTGGCAACCTGCTACACTCATGTCCTCAACGAGTAACCAAGCGAAGCTAAAGCTGGAGGACGGCCGTGTGGTGCGTCGCCATTTTGACCATATCCGGCCACGCTCAAACGCACCACAAGAGCGGGAGCAAAATGCGACTGCTACTGACCCAAAAACAGACGGAGAATCCACTTCACAAAACCAGGAACCACAAACGGATGCGCTACAACCACAAATAAGACTCTCAAAACGCACACCTAAGCCGATTGATCGGTATCAACCCGCAGTCTGCAGTCTTGACCAGGGAAGAGAGGGGTGTCACGTACGCACCTGTGTATCGATTCGTAAACACAGGCCCTCATATGATTGGTTGAGATTGGACTTGCGTCACTTTCCGCATGTCATTACTTTTCCTTTCCGGCTATTCTAGCTACTGGAATGCAGGATGCTTTTAGGAAATCAGTTCCATACTACGTGTGCGTGTTCTAAATGACTTGATCCACTGGTAGCTCGGGTCGATCGTTCTTGAATGCACTTGTTCGTCGAAGAAGAAGGACATCACTTTGATTGGAACAACACAGAAGTCCTAGCGAAAGGAGTGACACGAAAAGGAAGTGAGTTCCTCGAAGCATGGTACTCAACGAAGCATCCGATAAACGTGCACATAGAGATTGATCCAGTGTACCAAATGTTAAGACGGAGGGAACTAAAACACCTTAAAAAAGTAGAAACCGTCGTGATCGGCTAAACAAGCCATCAACAACACATCAACAACAGCCGGGGAAAAACCATCCCAAGGATTGCCCGTAGCTAATAGGGTTGGGCGGACCGGTGAAGGTCACGGGGTACAGATCGAGGACAGTTCAAAAGCCACTTGCTGATCGATCACAAATCGACGAACAAGTCAGCGGTAAATCGGAATACTTGTAGCTCGGGTGAGCTGTTCAGATTTTGTTCTGTTCTCCGAGCTGAACAGTTTCAGCGGATTAGATTGGACCCAGCAGCGCACTGACGAAGTCACCTCGCTTGGTGATGAAAAGTTTGCATCCCAACTCCGAAGCTCGGCGAACAAGTGTACTCAGTTGTGCGTGTTCTGTTCCATTTATCGGCTAAGTGTCATACTTAACAGTGTACCATGGCGGACCCCGAGTTCTTCGAGTAACATTGAACCCAACTGAGGAGACAGAGACAGTCCTACTCTCAGCAGTTCATCTTCGCAACTCATCGAGCAGGGTACCCATACTACCAGGTATTCC